GGGTCCGGGCTGGGGATTCGAACCCACCACCTTAGGTGTAGGTGGCTGGCGCCTTAGCCCGTTGAGCTATAGGCGCCGAGCCTCCCTTTTCTTAATCTAGCTGCAATGTCAATGCTTTACTGGCTCCTTATCTACATGGACAGCTCCTACACACATGCTTATCCACATGGAATCACATGTGTGTGCTCTCTCCCTACAGACAGGGCTTCCTGAGGCCAGAAACTGTGCCTCAGTGATCTCTGCATCCTGTGCTGGGCTCAGCAAATGCATTCACTTAGTAAGTGATGCGTTTATGATCACATGGGCATATCTGGGTACAAGGGTGCCATAAGCAGACGCAGCACAGGACTACACAACTATGCAGAATCCAGTTCACAGCTCTGTGGTGCACTTCTGTCTCCATGTAACGTTTCTTTCCCATATTGGGTGTCAAATGCATGTCAAAGGATTGAAGACTGTACAGTAGTCTGCTTATCACATACACACACACAAAAGTGCTTCTCAGGAGACCTTTCCTTTCTTTTTGAAACACTGCATCTTTTGCAAATTTTCCACCCCTGAGTACATCTCCTATAGCCAGAGCCATACTTACCTGGATCTGCTGCAGTATGTTCTTGAGCTGGACCAGAAATTCCTTCGCTTCCTTTGCCTTATCTGAAACTCCATTTAAGGCCTGAGATAGCTGTGCCTAAAAAAGACATCATGTATTAAGAAGAGCTTCTGGGGTGAAGAATCACACAGCTGGCACTCCATCATAGAGCTTCTGCTCATACGGGGATGGAGCAGACCCACGCATGTGCCATCCTCATTGATGAAGAGACCACTACACACTCAGTCTTTGCAATGTTTGCCTGCTTTTCCAGCAGTGGCTGAGTGTTGAGTGACTTGCAGACACTCTTCCGTCTGGCCCCCAAAGCTGGGTAGAAGTAAGGAGCACCCAGCGAATTGGATGCAGCCACCAGGCCCACTTCGATGTGTGCAGAGCCCAAGACAAGAAGACAAGTGGAGACCTTGGTCTACCCTTACCTGTCTCTCCCCATGGCAGTTCTATCCCTCATCAGAAGGTGTTAATGTGTGGACATCCCAGACCCCAGACACTAGGCCACACTCTGTCCACTGCATACTTGCACAGTCTTCTTGTGGCCTTGGGTGCACCTGGTGTCTGTACCAACTCTTCACCCCATGGACAGGGGTGCAGCAGTTACTGAGGTGCTCTGCTGGCTGAGCTCGAACGTATAACCTTTGGCATCCAGTTTCTTTTTAATGAACTACATGCACACACACTTTTAAATTCTATTGAGTATAAGGACGACCTTGATTTTTAACATGAGTCTCATCTTTCAAATTAAAAAGCTGAGGGTGGAACAACAGGGAATTAGAAAGGCCAGGATCTCCTTTGGCTTGCCCCCTGTCCCACAAGTCTCTGCCAAATGTCACCTTGTCAGTAGGCCTATGCTCATGCCTGTAAAATAGCCCTCTCCCCGACCCCTGCCTTCTTCTTCCTGACATTCAGCACCACCCAATCTGGAAGATTTGTTTACTGTCTCTTTCTCCTCCCTAGAATGTCAGTTGCCCAGGACTGGGACTTAGCCTGGATGATTTTAGCTGCATCCCAGCACTGGACCAGTACCCAGCACAGGCACTAAGTAAATATTTGCTAAATGAAGGAACTGATGAATGTGATTCTTGAGAACACACCAGGGGTTTTCAGCATGGTTCTGGACTGGAAGCATCAGCATTGCCTGGGAACTTGTTAGAACACAAAGTCTCTGTCTCCACCCATATCTACCACTCCGAATGGGGGTAAAACCCAGGAATCTGCGTTTTAATGATCCCCTCTGGGGCTCTGATACAATCTGCAACTTGCTGGACTGCACAAATGCAGACTCCGTGGAGAACTTGTGAAAAGCATGATAAATTAAGCCATGCGGTAGCTAAGAAAACACAGAGAAGAAGGGATGTAGACAGAGAAGGAGAGGGCTGTAGACACAAGGAGCACCCACATTCAAGGGGAGGCCAGGATATCGGCTGTCTCAGACAGAGCTGAGAGCCTCAGACTGACACTAGGTTGAGGTGCAGCTCCTCAGAGAATGTGTCCCTACTCCGCTGGCTTCCCCACTCCTAGCCCCAACCCAGCTGGTTTAGGCCCCGCTACCCCATAGCTCACCCAGGGTGCACCTTCCTTTCGTGCAAGCACCTTGGTGGTAAAACACCCAGTGGAACTTACAGGGGTGACAGATGTGTGCTGCTCTGTCTACCAGCCATTGGGGCTACTGAGCATTTGAAGATGTGGCAGATGTGACCAAAGAGCTGGAGTTTTACATGTTACTTAGTGTAAGTTGCAACTGCTCCTCCAAGAGCACAGGTCTTGACGCCCATCTGATACCCTGCAGGCCACATTCAGCAGGCTTCCCAACGAGTCTCCTGGGAGAGGTCGTATGATTCATTTCACATCCTATCCCTGAGCAAAGAATGTTATTATAAGTCCCTGAAATCTCATGGCGAGTTCCTCAAAACATTGACGTACTTACTGATTAACACGTAATCTACCAACTTTGAAAAGGACACTGGTTCGTTTCTGAATCATGAAGTAGAACATTTTAGCCTGCATGTTGTCACCTTTTGCCAATATGTGCATCTTCAGCACTATATCCTCCTAGGTAAAAGGACAATTTTCTCATTAAAAATTTCCAACTTGTAACAGGCCTGGGCATATGCCTTGTTGTGTTGCTAGGCCTTCCCCAGGCCAATCCGCCCATCTGGCTTCCAGTAAACTTTTATCACATTAGCTTCAACAGCCTTAGTTTCAGGCCACACATCCTTAGCCTACACTCTCTGGCTCCCCCTTCACCTCTTGCCATGAGTAGAAGCTCCCCAAAGCCCTCACCAGAAGCAGGCACTGGTGCCAGGTTTCCTGCACACCCTGCAGAGCCAGGAACCACATACACCTCTTCTCTTTATAAATAACTCAGGCCCAGGTGTTCCCTTATAGCAGCACAAGCAGACTAAGCCTCATGGCCTTTGGTGTGTTAACACAGAGTGAGCCCTGATATATCTTCCCCTTTGCATAGGGCACTAACCCCACTGCAGGGGCTCCACCCTCATGACCTCATCTAAACCTAACTGCCTTCTGAAGGCCCCACTTCCTAAGATCAGCACATTGAGGATTAGAGCTTCAACATGTGAATAGAGGGAAGCAGACACTTGGTCTCCCGCTGACTACACAGCTCACAGTGGAGAGAGCATGTTTTTGTCTCTGCATTTCTAGCCAGCAGTACTGTGCAAAGTAGGACCTCAAACACTACTCCTGGCTGAATGCAAGCAAAATTATTGCTCAGTGAATGATGCATGCAACAAGTGGGACAGATCCCAGCAGGGCCGTCATCACTGCCAGCACCTTCCTGGCAGTGTACAACAAGCTTGCTTGTGCCTAAGAGGCCAGGTTAGTGAGGGTCAGGTACCCTCTGCCCAGCACCCGTGGCCAGCACCGTACTGCCCCAGCACTGCCAGCCTCCCAAGTGCCCAGCCTTCCCTGGAACCCGCTGCTGACCTCCTTCCACTTGGCAAGGAGACCACGGAGGTTGGCAAGACATGAGGACAGAGTGGTTTTGAAGGACATCTGGACCTCAGGCCTGAAAGGGGAGCGATCTCACAGCTCAGTGGGCACTGCTTCCAGGCCCTCTAGACTCCCCACCTGATTTCCTCTCTGCTGCTTCTTTCTACCCACCCGGAGAGGTCACCACAATGCAAACAGCCGTGAGGCTGGTGTGTGCTCAGCTGCGTAAAGGCCCCTGTATCCTGGGCTGCTGGCTGTGCAAGAGGCCAGAACAGGCACTGTGCAGGGTGGCTGCCATTGAAGGATGTCCTCACAAGCACATAACTGAACTTTTCTCCCTTTCAGGTCCCTGCCTGAGACCTCTCCTCACTGTATGTATGAGAGGAGAGATGACCTGTATGTATGAGATGAGATGACCTCTCCTCACTCAGGGAACAGCATTATGAAAATCAGACCGGATTATTCTAGTGGGAAAGGAGCAAAGGTTTTTGGAGCCAAGATGTAACTAACTTCTTTATCAGCACATGAGGGTGTTACACATCATACTTTGCTTCAGCTTTTTTTTTGAGACAGAGTCTCACTATATCACCCTCAGTAGAGTGTTATGGCATCACAGCTCACAGCAACCTTAAATCCTTGGGCTTAAGCGATTCTCTTGCCTCAGCCTCCCAAGTAGCTGGGACTACAGGTGCCTGCCACAACACCCAACTATTTTTTTTGTTGCAGTTGTTTAGCTGGCCAGGGCCAGGTTGGAACCGGCCACCCTTGGTGTATGTTGCTGGCACTGTAACTACTGTGTTACAGGTGCCGAGCCTGCTTCAGCTTTTTTGACACACACTTCTTTTTATTTTCTACAGTGACTATTTCGAGAATTCTCAGAAGATGAATGCTCAGATGCTGAAAAGTGTCCCTTTCTGGTCTGCAGGAAGACCCTGCCATCCTAGGAGTGAGATAGATAGATTGTCCCTGTGGGTGTCAGTTATACCAAACTCCAGGAAAGAATGGAACTATCTGGACAGAAGATACAAATTGTAGTTGGATGCATTTTAGCATGTATCCAAAAACTGAAGTTTATGCCTTTCTATTCGTTTCAGGTTAGAATTATGTTCCTATAAAGTCTCTGAGTTTAGCCAACAGCTTAAAAGCATAAGTGCTTCCTCACTGGGTCAGACTGGCAGGAGGCCCAGGAGGAGGTCTTCACCACCAGCTCACAGGATGTCTCCTGGGTGTGCTGGAGACTCAGTTTCTTCAAACTGTGCTTGTGTTTCAGATGGTGTGACTGTGAGCAATAGTGCATTGTGTGAGAGCTCTGGGCTTATGGGATTCAAATCCTGGCTCTGTCACTTACTAGCTGTGTCTCTTAGGAAGATACTTCATTTCTTTAAACTATGGTGACCATTCCCCCTAAGGTGAAAATAATAAGAATGATAACCCCTACCTCATAAATGTTCTTCTGACTATGCTTTGTGGTATTAACTCAAGCCTTTCCTAGTTCCTCTTTCATTGTTCCATCTGAGTTTATGATCTATGAATTTCTCTAAACCACCAAACTGGGACCCACCTATATTTTCAGTCTATACAGCCTCTCAGATAAACCTCATCTGTTTGCTGTGGTCTCAGTGGAGAAGCCCCTATGTCAACACCTTTTAAATTTGGTTCCTGGCTTGGCGTCCATAGCACAGTGCTTAGGGCATTGGCCACATACACCAAGGCTGGCGGGTTCAAACCCAGCCTGGGCCTACTAAACAATGACAACTGCAAATACATATATATATATATATATATATATGTATATGTATATATAGGCATTGTGGTGGGTGCCTGTGTCCCAACTACTTGGGAGGCTGAAGCAAGAAAATTGCTGAAGCCCAGGAGTTTGAGGTTGCCGTGAGCTATGATGCCACAGCATTCTACTGAGGGTGACATAGTGAGACTTTGTTTCAAAAAAGAAAAAACTTTGGCTCAGTGCCTGTAGCTTAGTGGTTAGGGTGCTGGCCACATACACTGGGGCTGGTGGGATCAAACCCCGGCATAAGCCTGCTAAAAACAATAACTACAACACAAAAACAGCCCGGCGTTGTGATGGGCACCTGTAGTCCCAGCCCCTTGGGAGGCTAAGACAAGAGAATCAC